CCCCCCCCCCCCCACACACACACATTGGGAAAGAGAAAGGAAAGTCTGTTTGTTGCTTTACCTGTGGACAGCAGCGCAAGGTGTACGCATCCTGCACACGGTCACAGAACCTGTGACTCTCTGTGGAAAAGGTGGAGGGGATGGCAGGGAACATGTTAGCGATTTCCCCCCCACAAAACACAAAACCAAATAAGCTCACTCACATAAACTTGCCCAGACCTGCTATTTCTGATGGGTGGTGATCCGAGTCCAAGAGTGACCGAAACCGAAAAGCAACTTCAATTTGCCCGGGATGAGGGCGGACAGCATGAATGTCTAGAATTGATGAAGAGAAAGCCTGAGCAACCCTCATATTGGAACAAGCTACCATGGACGGCTCGGAACCACCCACGCTGCCGACACAGCCCGCAAAGTCCCAGGTCCTTAACCGCCCCTGAGGATTAGAAACATCTCCAAAAGCAAGATCTTCCTTGTTGTCTTTATTATTTCTACTTCAAATTTCCAAGTACAAATGGGCAAGGTCAACTACTGGGCATTCAACTCAAAACCCTGGGCTACCCTAAAAAGATTTAGGCTCCTAATGGGAGGGAGCTCTATAGTAGCCTAACTTAACTAAGTCATTTTTAAACAGCTTTTTTTGTCCTATTCTATATAAAAATACAGAGTTTTTTAAACTCATTACTTTCTAGGTAAGATACCATTTTTATAGTCCCCCACCCCCAGTTTTCTAAAGGGGACCAACCTGAATCCTACTATAGTTCTAAAACTCTGCAAACATAGTCCTAAAACAGCACATAGTTTGATGAGAGCCAGACCTAGGTGATCTGGGGCAGGTCACTTAACTCTCAGGGTCAGTGTCTGTAAAACGTGGTCATTTCAAGGGTTGAGTGTGGCAGAATTTAGGTGAAGCTATAACAGTATTGAGTACATCACAGGCTCTTGGGTTCCCCCTGCACCCCACTCCTATGTCTAAAGACCTCAACCAGCCCGCCCCACCAGCCCTGGTTGAATGAATAGCGACCAGAGGAACCATGCTGACCGGTATCGAAGGCTCTGGTGGTGCCCTTCAGCACCTCCAGGGTCAAGGCCGCCACGATGTCAGCCTGCCGCGCTATAGCACTGGCCCTCTCCACAGCTTCGCAGCCCAGGGAGGTGATCATCTGTGTCCCATTGATGAGTGCCAGACCCTTTGGGGCAGGGGAGAGAAGTTTCCTACTGTATTTTTTTGTAACAAGCCTAGGTACATGTTGATTTAGCACCTTTTGCTTTCCTAAGAGGAAAGTTAGCCAGTCAGTCAGCTAAACGATGCTTATTCCTGTTTTCAGAAGGGCAGGGCAGTGATGCTACTTAAGCACTTGAGGACTCAGTGCTATCCTACGTGAAATCATTACTATAAATCTGGCAAATAGAATAGCTGTTAGTCTCCCCATTCTCAGGGCAGCAGAGTAGTTCCAGTGTAAAAGGCATATAAAATCTCTAGCTCTTAATTATGCTGTATTTCTTCTTTAACTTATCATTGTTATAGACAAGATGACCTAAAACATTTCTGGTCCAGGAATATTAGGATGCTCTTGGCTTAGAGTATCTCTTAGGGATCCCGAGAGATCCCGATTTAAAGTTTAAGTTCTTAGGTAAGAGAACCCGTAAGCATCTGTGGCATGAAGAATCTTTTAAATACCGATGGAGGAGCTGTTTCTTCAGTGACCAACTTTCAACAAACATGTGAGCCATGTTTATTTTAACAGATCAGCGAGACTGATATTAAGACTGAAAATAGTGCCTAAAGACAGACTTGTTGACATGAACAAATTTTCCTTGAGTCTCCTTACCTCTTTTGGTTTCAAAACAATTGGTTTCAATCCGTGCGCTTCCAGGACCTAAAGAATGATTTCAAAAATTATAACGGGGAACAAATGAAATACCAGCCTATTACTAATTTCGTGAGGAACCCAACAGAAGATCTTTAAGCCCAAAAGTCTGTCTGATAAAAGTCTAGACCTACAGGGATTAGCTCTATTTCTCATCTCTGGTCTATTCTCTAGTTCTGTTCTTTAGTCTGAAAGCAGACTTGGCTTTCAAATGATTTTTATACTGAAGTCAGGGGCTCTCGTGTCTACAGAACCGACCCTGAGTTTTGGTTTCGGGTCCTTGGTGTTAGGTGTCCACCTTAGTGATTCACCGTCTCCTGCTGCCTCCTGAGCCCACACGCACCTGTGCTGCGCGAAGGCTGGGCCTCTGTCTGTCGGTAACCCCTGCCTCCTGAACTTGACCTGAAAAGTCCTCCTGAGGCAGAACCTCAGAGCAGGGCTTCTCAGTTGTGTGGCAAATGTGTGAGCGTCGACGAAGGGGGGACTGTTGGCCTAATAGATGGGAACAGAATTCTAAGGGGAAGTGGGCAGAATAATCTTACTCTGAAATAAAAGAAGTAAAAACAGTCACTAAGGTCTCTCTAGGGAAGAAGGAAGGCAGAGCCTGCACCATGTACTATGGCAGTTTCCCAGGTTTTTTAGAGAATCTATTACACATCTAACTCTGCTCTGAGTGTGGGGCTGGGGCAATGGAGACAGACAAGCTCGGGGGCAATTACAGAAATAGAATGTGCAGTCTCCGGGAGGTAGGAAGTGGGTACAGTTCAATGGGAAACAATCACAGAAGATGCTAGGAGAGCACAAAGGAGCAAAGGGGACTTGTGGGGGGCAGGTGGGAGTAGGGCAAAGAGCCAGAAGAGCAGAGAGGGACGTTTCCCCGAGGACTCATCAGGAGGAGCGGGAGTGAGTGGGGAAGAGAGGATGGCTCTGTGCTGGTCCCTCTGCCTAGGACGCAGCATTCCAGCTGCGAGGAGCCTCCAGAGTGTGTGATGGGGAACCTGGCGGGGAGGGATGAGGCGGGTAAGGTGCCAAACAAGGCTCTTGCAGCCACTTTAAGTTTAGGCTTTCTCCTGAGGACAATGGGAAGCACTGTAGGTTTTAGGCAGGACATGCTCAGATTTGCTGTGTGAAGGGGGCCTGGGGAACACTGTACCCAGAGAAATGATCAAGAAGAGTCTGCATGGAAGGAGGTGATCTGGAACCCGTATTCCCATGAGGATTATCTGTTTCCTTAACCTCTCCCTTCTCCTTGGACCTGGACCGTTTGCTTAGGGGACCTCCCAACAATAGATCAGTGATGGCCCTTCAAATAACTCTTTGGGCTGCTCTAATGGAATTTGGAGAGCTGAATGAAGAAAATATTCGAGCTTTATCAGAAACAAGCCTTTCTAATTAGCCACCAGGTGGGAGCTTGGGGGTCAATGGACCCCTTCTTTCCAGAGGCCACAGAGTGAGTGCTATGATCCACAGCTCAGTACCTGTGAGACCAGCAACTAGGTAAAGTTCTGACAATGTGTGACCTCCCAGATAGGCACCAGAAGTGTTTTAGGTGCAGAAGAGTTTCCCGGGATCAACACTGGCAGCTGTGCCTTTTCACCAAGGTGATCGCCAAGTCCAGAGGCCGGCAGTTGGGTGTGAAAGCTAAGAGCCTTGCCTAGTATGACCTCCAAGCTGCAGTTTTCTCATCTATAAACAGGGATAACAGTGGCCCCCTCACTGGGCTGCTGTAAGGATTAAGTGATAGAAAGCATGCTGTATGTCCAGTGTCCAGCCCAGGGAAAAATCTTTCAGATGGACATTGCTGTTCAAGTCTTACGTATTTAGCGTCAGCCCAGCCACTCTTTGGAGACCACATCTTTCCTTCTCCAATGAGCCCAAGAGCAAGATGAGAGAGTGGAGCAAGGTCTCCACTGGCACCAACGGTTCCTTTCTCTGGAACGTAGGGCAGGCAGGAGGCTGGGAGGGAAGCAGACACTCGTTACTCCAGGAGAACTTCCTTCTGGCCAACTTCACTTGGCCAGTGAGGCCCACCTCCCCCAACAGGATCTAGGGTCACCTTCTGGTACAAATACCTGGAGAAAGCTAATTCCTCAAGCACAACTGATACTTAAGGGACCTGGCCGGGGTGCTATAGAAAGAGATGAGGGGAAGGAAGAGAGAAAGAAAGGCAGGAAGGAAGAAAAAAGGGGGGGGGGAGGGAGTGAAGGAAGGCAGGAAGGAAAGAGGAAGCGCCCAGTAACAAAGCCGTTCCTTGTAGTCTCTTTAAGTTGAGACTTTCTCCTGAGGATAATAGGACACATTGCAGGTTTTAGTCAGGACATGCCCAGATTTGCTGTGTGAAGGTGGGTGGGGGAGCACTGTACACAGAGAAACGATCCAGATCAGGCTGCGTGGGGAAAGGTGATCTGGAACCCGTATGCCCATGAGGATTATTTGCTAACTCCCTCCTTCTTGGTCCAGAGGTGCAGAGGTGCTCCTTCCTTATTGTTACTGTGCATGTTCTAATCTGACCTAGAAATTCCTAGAATTCTGGCAAGGTATCTTTAAGATGTGACCAGGAACTAGCTGGTGCATTATAGCCTTGTTTCTAAGAACAAAAGTTAGAAATGATCTAAATATGGAATTAAGAGATTTTCCTATGACCAAACGTTGTGTGTGGCCATTAAAGCCTAGTGGAGAATGTTTGGGAACACGTAAATATTGACATTAGAAAAGAAATATAAAACGTTCCAGAAGGAGAAGGTTCACCAAAGTGTTGATGAGTTTTCTGGGCAGGTGAAGTCATAGGCAACTTAGTCTTTTCTTTTGCCAGACTCCTAGTCTGCCGCCTCACCACCACCTATAAAGGGATGTGTGCTGTTTTGTAGGAAATTCCCAATAAATTACCAAAAAAGAGGCTTTGTTTTTCAAAGTAAACTCAGACGCCCTAAGAGCAGTGTCTTTGCGAATTGCTAAATATTTTCAATAGGGGAAAGCAGTGCCACCCACAGGCCAGCTTCCAGATCTGAGCTCACCCTGGGGGATTCTCAGAACTCTAGGGCCCCAGAAGTACCATCAAGTCTACTGTATGGGACATGCCCAGCCTCAATGGAGGGTCAGTCTGGGATCCATTGCATTACCATTAAATACTTCAATAACTTGTTTGAGAGTCTCCAGGGAAATGCCACTGTATCCTTTGGCTAAGACATTGATCCTTAAAGCCAGCAGCATCCGACATCTCTCAGGGATTAGTGGTTTCCCAACACCTACAAAACAATTGAAAACCAAAATCTATTCCACCTCTTGGCTGCCTCCATCTCTCAAATCTTTCTTCAATTCTTGACTCAGATAGTTGGACTGCTCTCCCTCCTGTCTTGCTTCTTAAAGTCGTATCTTCCCGACAAAGGTGAAACCCCAGTTTTGCCTTCTCAGTTTCCCCTCTTGGAACACTTCGGTGAGCCCCCACTTCCCACCCAACACCCTTGGAATAACGTCCAGACCCCTCAGCACACATTGCCTTGCAATCTGATGGGAGCTGATTCTTGACAGGCTCCCATCTTACCTCGTCCTGATCAACTCATTCCCTGACTTTCAGCCTTGATTTTGTTCTCTTGGCATGACTGTACCTGTACAGGTGCTCCTGTTCCAATCCCTTCCCTCTCCCTGGCCCATTCCCTTTCCTGAGATTCAGCTGGAGGGCGCTCTTTTCTGATGCTTTCTGCGTCCCTCCCTCCCCCGAAGCACCCAGTCCCCGGAAGGCACTAGCTCTCCGTGGCTGTCACAGGATGCATCGCTCGGTGCTGTACTTTATCCAGCCAGTCAAACGAGATCTAGGAGGCACCTAGCATTTGGAATGATTTACCTGAAGAGTGCGAACGTACAAGGTTGACCTGGAGCTCCCTGAAAGAGAAAGGGCAAAAACCCTCTTAGATACCTCATGGTGAAATGTCCCCCCACCTGCCGAGGGGGAGGGAGGGGCAGTTACATCTTTGGAGGGACCGAGCGAGGCAGCCTGTTTCCAGTACCAACTCCTGTGCAAGTCTGTGCAAGTCCACCCAAGCCTCCGGATCGCTAAACTGGGCCAGATGTTATTTCCCTTGTTGAAAGGGATCTGGAAAAATGGGGGTAGGAGGCAGGGGAGTGTGTGTGCGGTTGGGGAGAGCAGGGATCGCACTTACTCTAGCTTATTGATAGGAATGACAGTTCTGGCAAATTTCCCGAAACCCGTGGTAATGCCATAAACAACTGGAATAAACAACAGACATTATCCAATTAGATGCAGGCCATATACAATTTTTTTAAGTCTATAAAAATAATTGTATAACACAAAGGGAAGAGATACCAGTCTTTTCTTTTATGATGCTATCTATGACTTCCCTGGACTTTTCCACCTTCTTCTCCGCCGTCGGGGTGAGCTAGGGAAACATTGGTCAGAGCCGAGCGCCTGGAAGATTTCCACCCGCGGCAGTAAAGGACAGAGGATACCCTTCCCTCCCCCGTACCTTTATTTTGTAGCGTCCCTTGCCCAAGTTCACCAGGTCCTCGGTGGTCAGGCTGTCCCCATCTAAGGCGATGTACTGCACAAGGGAAGGGGGTCTCTGTGAGTCTGAACAGCTTAGTTGCTCAAACAAGAGAGCAGGGAAGCCTCAAGCAGGACCAAACTTGGCACTTCAGAGATTTTATCACTGCCAATTTAATGGGCTAAATTAAAAGAAAGCTTACCTAAGGGGAGGCCCAGTAAGGAATGTCAGAAACCGAAAAGCATAATGCCTTTCCCTACTTCCCAGAGCTGGACAAAGTCCTGACCTGATTGACAGTGTTTGCTCATCAATTTTGCTGACTCTCTCCCTCCTTAAATGAGGGGGACTTAATTTTCTTAACAACAAAAAAGAGTAGTTTGCAGCTTACCTTTTCCGGCTCCCGGTATTTGCTGTACCTGAAGCCGGGTAAAGGAAAATACTGGGAAGTGTGGCAGAGCCCCAGCCCCATCACTGGCAGGAGGAGCCCCCAGAGCAGGCCAAGGAGCCTGCAGGAAAGGATACAGGTAGACTCCTTCTGGTTGCGATGGAATGAAGTCAGGAGACATGGCATCCCCCTCTATGACTGAAACAAGAAGACAAGAACGACCCTTTACGGATCACGGTGGAGAGCCAATTTTGGCCTTGCTGGTAAACCAGGGAAGGGCTCTTCAATTGCCTTTGAATTCTATCCAAATGGCTGCTTTAAAACGACGTTAGATACTTTCAAGTGCTCTTAGCATCTTTACAGCAGAGGAGAGCAAAAGCAGAGATGTAGGTGCCGGGTGTGGACCTGGGTTTAAGTGAAAGTTTAAGATCTAACCCCTACTTCTGTCCCCATCCCAGCTTTATTTGGTTTGAAATCTGAACTCGGTGCCGCTGGCCTCTCATCTGGTGAGGGTCTTTCGAAGGGCAAAAGGATCTTCACCTTTAAGTCTATGGAAGTGGGTATATAAGACAAAGCAAGTCAATTACTGCAGTTTGCGCCTCCGCTCCAGCCACTCACCCACTTCCACGAACTCGTTGTCCTCCAGGGCCACCTCGAGCGAGTCCTCATGGTCCAGCAGGCCCAGGCCCTTGCAGCGGCGCACTAGAAAGTGCACGTCGTCCACGGAGGCAAAGCCACCGTTGTCTGGCTTGTTCTTCATGTACCTGCGCACAGCCTCGCGGCCCAGCCAGCCCACGGTGAGCTGTGCGTCCCTGCAGGGGACAGCCAGCCATTCTCCACGCACATGCACCGTGTACCTGGGCATGGCTCCCTGCCGCTCCTGCTCCTGCTCCTCCTCAGGTCACAGTCACTGGTGACAGTCGCCAGGAGCAGAAAGTTTTATCTAGTGGTGACTACCAGGTGCGGTGGGTGGGGAGGGCAAGGATGGACTTTCAAAATATGCCACTACCCTTGCCTTTACTCATTCACACGTTGGGCAAATATTTATTAAGGGCCCATGGTGTCCCTTTGGATTTTTGCAGCTGAGCTAGAGGCCCCGAGGGGGATGCGAGCAGGCCTGAGCACCTGCGGTGCAGCAAGGCCTGGGGGTCCTAGCACCTGCTGGCACCGCTGCTGGCCCTTTCCCTCCAGGTTCCTGATTTCTCCCTCCCCCCTTCCTGTAACTTATAAACACTGTGTTCCTGTCTTTATCTTGGATTAGTCAACTGTGAAGTACACCCTGCCAGCCAAGTATGACACCTGGGAGTGTGGCAATCCTCACTCATCTGTTTATTGCACAAACAGGTGTTGAGCAACTACTGCTCACTGTTAGGGTTTCCTGAGGCTGCCCCTCCACAGAGGGAGACTGCAAAGGCCAGAGATCATTTTCACAACTTCTCAAAGGTCACTGTCTGGACGAAAGAACCATCAGGGCTTGAAGGTTAACAGCTCAACCAGCCATGGGTGGAATTCCAGCTCAGGCCCTTATTAGCCTCCAGCACACAAGCTCTTAACTAGCCTCTGCTTCCTCCTCAGAGGGCAAAGGTATCTACCTGGGATCAAATCCTGGCTCTGCCTTTTACTGGCTGTGACCTCTGGTGAGCTATTTGACCTCTCTGGGCCTCAGCTTCCTAATCTATAAAATGGAGATAATGATAGTACCTGTTGCAAAGGGCTGCTGAGAGGATTGAGTTCATATGTGGAAGCCCTTAGAGCAGCACCTGGTACTAAAGAAGTGTTTGTAACTATAATTTGGACTTTAATACTCTCTATATTGTTTTATAAACGTTCTCTTATCTTTGTACATGACTATCGGCAATCCAATGAAGCTTCTTCAACACAGATAACTGCTCCCTGCACCCAATTCATTGCTACTAGTATTAATAAAGTCTGAAGAGCATGTAAAAGAATCAAAGAAATGTGGGCACTAGCTCAGCAGCATTTTAGTGGTAAGCCAGTTTCTAGAGATTTGATGAACACAATAGAAAAATCCTTAAAGATCTGTTCCCATTAAAACGTATTTCTGCTGGGACTAGAGACACGTTGCTCACAGAAAACACCCATACCCAGCATCTCCTTCTCTGGCAGCTTCCCCGGATCTGTACAAATAAGGAGCCACCATGCCTGAGCTCTGTTGAAACTTGCACTTGAGCCACCCAAATCCTGACCGCTCCCTGAATTTGATATGCATAAATCTTACATTCTAATACCCACCTTCTGACCACAGCCTTAGAGCCTTACAGCTAGCTCCCCCCTTTACTTTGGTCATCTCTGCCCTTAGGACCTGTCCTCTAGTTGGCTCCTTCTTTCCTCCACTTCCCACCTGCTTCCTCACTTACTTCCCTAGGAAGCTGGTCCCCTCGTTGCTCACCTGGACCACATTCTTCAGCATTTTGAAATTCCTTTATAATGCTAAAGGTGTAGGGGGTCAGAAATGCCTTCAAAAGTATCATGTGGGTTCACCCACTCCTCCAGGACCTTCTCAAAATCCACCTCCCCTAATTCTCAGAGGAAGACCTTACCTCCCACCTCTCAGAAAATGGAGGCCCTTCAACATGAAGTACCTTAACTTTCTGCTAAATACTTCTTGAAAGCCTGTTATGTGCCAGAGTCCCAAATACTATGCTAGGTGCTGGGGATGAAATAAATGAAATACACTCTCTGCTTTTATGGTGCTTACTCTCTGGTGATGGATGCAGACATTTAAGGAAGACTGGTAAGTCCAACTATCCCCTGTGCTGTGAGAAAACCCAAACTGAGCCCAGCTGTTAAGTAATCCCAGGCCACACAAGGGACATGCGAGGGAAGAAGGCGCCCCATACCAGTTCCCAGCATTTTGAATCACACCCAGACATCTGAGGACCCCAGGCTCAGGCCCTAGACACGGTAGAGCAGAGATAAGCTGTTTCCACTGGCTCTGTCCAAATTCATGACCCAAACACCCATAAATCTATACCTTATGTTATTCTTTCTCCACCTGGAGTAGGCCTCCAGCTTTCTTTGCTTGGCTAGATCTTTCTCATTCCTAAAGGTTCAGTTTATGCCTTCTCTTCTCCAGAAAGTATCCCCTAAACCCCTTCCTCTGGGTTGCTTTAGTATACCTCTTCTTTAGCATTTTATAGAAATTACCTATCCTTGCTCATCCAGAACATATCTAGCCAGGCACAAGACACTCAACAGACGCTTATTAGCTGAAGCAGATAAATGTAGCCTCCACTGAGGGGGACGGGTGAGTCTGCCCAGACCTTTGTCTTGCGCACCCCCTCCCTTCCTCATAGCCTCCTTCAGCCTCCATGCTCTTCCAGTGGCTGCCCCAGTCTGCATTCCCACCAGCAGTGTACTAGGGTTTGCTTCCTCCGCACCCTCGCCAGCATTTGTTGCTTGTTGACTGGCAGATCTGAAGTAATACCTCGTTGTGGTTTTACTTTGTATCTTATTAGAGATGCCCCAATTCATTATCAGTATTAGACATCAGCGATACTGAAAAATGACATTATCTTAGAGTATGGGGTAAGCGTAGGTGGCCAGAAACCCCTTCAAAAGTATCATGTGGGCTCATGGATTTGCTCAAGTCTAATCACTTAGAATGTGAGTATAGACCAGGGGTCAGAGCTGAACTCTCCCCTGCTATTCCTGGCACTGAAGACAAGTGAGAACAGAGCCCTGAGAGGCAGAATCACACTGCAGTGTAGATAGGTTTTCAGGGAGAGTGCAAGCCGCAGTCTCAGGATTATAGGAAAGGACAGGAAGCTGTCTCTTTATCTGCCCCCCGCGTGGGTGTTTGCTCCTGTTTTAAGACTTTTGTCACTGCGTCAGCACTTTTGAGGGGTACTTAATAGTGATATACCCGCCCGCCCACATCTATACCCAAACACAGCATTCCTCTGTTAGCTTATTTAACCAGGAGTGGACCCAACCTGGGTTAGTCTCACTTCTGAAAATTTGGAATTAAGACAGTCTCTCCACATGGTAAGAATTATTTGCAACAGTAAAGCTGGGGGCAGCCAGACTATACAATGTGGACAGAAATGAGACGAGAGTACTGACGGTTCTGCAGTCCTGGGTGTCAGTCTTTCTGTCTGTCCACAGGTTCCGATAACCTCCCTCTACCCTTTATCCTTAAAATAACCTTCCTATTCCCCTTCTGACTTCTAGTCATTTGGGTTGCTATCAGTCACAATCAAAGAATCCTAAAAAAATTGAACAGTGGTTCCCAAACTGTGTGCCGAGGCACCCTGGGACACTCCATGGCATTCACAGGTGTACTTTGTTACTCTCTCACTTGGATCAAGTTGTATTGTTTCCGATATTTCCTCCTATGTGCTGTATGCTCTGAGTGTCTGAAGTATGTTTGCTGACCACTAAAGAGATGAGGCAGGTGGAATGGAGCGTCAGGAGACGATGGGAAGTACTGTGTTCATGGTGGTCACCAGGTCCTAACGGGCGGGAGAGCAGGACCAGGCCCGCCGATGAGCAGGAGATCAGGGTGAGGAGCAGCGCTCCCCTAGAGCTGACACATTCTGATAAGGGGTTCACCCCATGTCCACTGGCTGGGCGAGGAGCAAACCCGAAGGAGTGTTCATGTTATGGTTACTTAAAAGGCAAAACCCTAATCATGCTGAATTCTCGGTGGCAGCAGATTCAAGTGAAAGAACTTAAAGCAGTAGGTAAATAATACAGTGACGTATTTTGTGACCATACTGAGAGGAAATAAATAGGAAATTGAAAATTTTATATTTATAAATCAGAAGATTAAACTTTTATAAAATTCACTTTATAAAGAACATGCCATTGGTTGGGAGGGGGGAAGATAGCTCAGCTTTATTTATGAAAATCACTGACAAAACAATCAAAAGCCAAAAGTAAAAACATTTTTAGTTACAATATGAGCTGGAGTTTTTTATATTTCTTTTGATTTCAATTTAAAAAAGAGAAACGTCTGACATGATCAACAGGCAGGTCCCTACTCCACTTTTAAATCCTTGCCCACCAGCATGGCAGTCACAGGGTGCATACTTGCTTTGTGCTCTTGGTAGGTGCGGATGGCTTGATCATGGGACTTGTCAAAGGCAGCAAGGTCCCTGCAAAAAAAAAAAAAAAAAGATTT